GCAGCCTGCTTGGAATAAGTTTCACAAAAATTAAAGCCTTGATTTTTAAGACCAGCACTTCCAGACTCTCCAGGCCCCCATGGGTCTCACTCATGCTGGCTAGAGATTCCAGCAGTTGTATAATAGTGACAGACTCTGAAGCAAAGCAGGGTAGTCAGGAGGAAATGTTATGTTTACTGAGACCCTTAGATCAGCTTCCAACAAGTTAACACAGATTGTGCAAAACCAGCATTTTAGGTTAGGGACAGTACAGGTGTCTTCCAAGGTAGACTATCTCCTGATTATGATAAGAGGCACTTAGACCCCAGTGTAAAATAATGAATTCAAAGATTTGTTGAAGGAGAAACCGATGTTGTTAGCCTTGCACAACCAGAATATACCCGAACTCCCAAACACACTACAGTATGCTGGTTAGAGACATATCCCCACTGGCATAAATTTCTGCAATGAATTGCCACTAATTAGTCAGTTTAGGCACTTGCTAACAGATTAGTTGCATGATTCAGTGAGTGATAACAAATATCTATGCTGACTTCATGCTGTTGTTGTTTAGTCCTTAAGTTGTGTCTGAGTCTTCGTGACCCCATGGACCAGAGCATGCCGGGTGCTCCTGTCTTCCACTGCCTCACGGAATTTGGTCAAATTCATGTTGGTAGCTTTGATGACAAATTATGAAGTTATGCTGACTTCATAATTTGCAGCAATTCATAGCAGAAATGTATTCTTATGGAGTGGTATCGGCATAAATATCCAATAGGATTCTAGCCATTGTGTGTCTGTATACTATCTTTCTTCTTAAACAATATTTTTAAATAAAGCAAAGCAAAGCAAAGCGTGCTGCTTATATACCGCCCCATAGTGCTTCAAGCACTCTCTGGGCGGTTTACAAGTTAATTATGCAGGCCACACATTGCCCCCCCCCCCAGCGAGCTGGGTACTCATTTTACCGACCTCGGAAGGAGAGAAGGCCGAGTCAACCTTGAGCTGCTACCTGGGATTGAACTCCAGGTCGTGAGCACAGTTTTGGCTGCAGTACAGCAGTTCAACCACTGCGCCACGAGGCTCACCCCCTTTGGAAAAATAGATAAATTTAAATAAATCTCTCTTATTTAAGTTCTCCTGATCAGTTGTGTAACATGCATCACACCACAAAGGAAAACAGTTCATCATAAACCACAAAACTCAATGAATTCTATGACAAAAGTTGGGGGACACCCACTAGCTTTCATGGGTTTAGAAGAGGGCTAAACAATTCTGTGAGCATAAGCATGGTTATAATAGGGTTTACAATGTTTTTGCACTGATGGCAACATGTGATATGGAGTTAGTGCACAGTAGCTGCACACGCAGATATGCATAAGCAACTGCACACATACACACACAGAGACAGACAGGCACACAGAGAGAGACATAGAACTGTTGGATAGCTTTATAGTTTAAGTATCTGGCTGTGGAGGCAGTGTTCACTTCCCTACTGTGCCTCGTTGTGAAGGACTAGACTTGGTGATTCATATGTTCCCTTCCAGCGCAGCTGTTCTGAGATTATTATCACAGTAGGATAGCCGTATCTGCAGAGTATATTAAAGATATTTTAAAAAAAACCAAGAAAGACGTATTTTCCCAATGTATTTACCATAATGGGCCACCAGAGAGACCCAGAGACCATGCTATGTATTCTAGGGTCACTGGTTCTTAACCTTGTGTTACTCAGGAGTTTTGGACTGCAACTCCCAGAAGCCTTCACCACCAGCTGTCCTGACTGGGGTTTCTGGGAGTTGCAGTTCAAAAGCATCCGAGTAGCACAGGTTAAGAACCACTGTTCTAGGTGTTGAAAAATACATAGCATGGTCTCTGGCTCCCACTAGTGGCCAGTTCTGTTCGTACGTGGTGAAAATATTCTTTTCTGGATTGTTTTCTTTTATCATGCTATTTATAGCATTCACTATTATTCACGATTTTCAACTTGCTCAGTGGAAATGAAGTACTGACTGAATGCAAGGCAACTTTGGAAAACTGGGAAGGGGGTGGGAAGGGAAATGCAATAAAGTGTCTGGAAATCTCATCTAAAACACTGTGAATTGTAGCATGGTGTTATGGATCTCATGGTAGATCTCTTTTTAATAGAGGAAGGCCTCTAATATTAATTACACTGGCATTGAGATCATCCTGCAGTTGCAGCTGATTTGTATAAGTGTAGTAAATATGCTTTGTAAAGCAGGCAACGTATTGATGATTTTGGCAAAATTCTCAGCATACTACCCTCACCTATTATTGCCTGAGCGTCAGTCATTCTCCTCTTTTTCTAACAGATTCTGAGCTTCATCATCATTTTAAAAATTATTGTAATTATTTATGCAAATGTTATATGTCACACACTGATTTACTGTTTCCCCTTGCAGATTGTTTTGAACGGCATCAGGCTGCTAATCTGTGCCACAAAGGAGAAAACTGAAAGGCATAACTAACAGCTCACATTTTTGCATCTCTTGGGGTTACTTACATTTTTATGGAACTAGGCTTTTTCACGGGAGGTGGCTCGCAAGACTTCTGGTGGTCTGAAAACCAGAAAAGACCAGAGGTTTCATGGAATTTGCTATATAAGGATCAGGTCTCAGGTGTTTTATGGCTTGGCACCATCTATCTAATATTGATCAAACTCTTACTTGATGTTTATGCTTATTATAAACAACCCACAGGATTTTGGCTGGTATTTCATAGAGATATTATCAATTTTTGTGCAATTTTTAAAATGCAGTACTTCATAATTTGATTCATGGTTCAGATTTTCTTAGCAGTTTAAGGAGGTTTGTCCTCACCGTTTGTAATTAATACAAACTGATCTTAAAGTCTGCCTGGGCTTTAAGATAACCAAGAGAGGCCTTACCTTCAGTCCCACCATTCTCACTGGTGTACTTGGTGGGCACAGAGGAGAGGGCCTTCTCTGTTGCTGCTCCCAAACTCTGGAACTCCCTCCCACAGGAAGCTAGGTTGGCCCCATCTTTGTTGTCCTTCCGCACGCAGGCAAAGACCTTTCTCTTCAGGCAGGCTTTCTCTTAATAACTGGTGGTCTGAGAGGGTTTTTTAAATGGACTGTTGTGCTCTGTTGTTTTAAATATGTTTTACAGTAGTATTGGTTTTATTACCATTTTAATACAATACTTGTTTAATTCTTTTAAAATATTTGTATATCTACTGTTTTTAGCTTTTAAATATTGCCTTTTTAATAATGTAAGCAACCCTGGGTTCTTTTTAAGGAGAATGGCAGGATAAAAATATAAACAAACAAACAAACAAACAAACAAACAAACAAACAAATGACAGACAGACAGACAGACAGACAGACAGACAGACAGACAGATAGATAGATAGATAGATAGATAGATAGATAGATAGATAGATAGATAGATAGATAGATAGATAGAACAAAACTGTACAGGCAGCACATACAATAAGAAAATCAGATCCTGCCAGTTGTAAAACCAAATCCTGTCAAAGGAGTATATTATATAAAAGAACCATTTTGGCATATTATTACAATTACATATAACTCATGAGGCTACTGGTAGCCCAGGGGAGAACAATGAGGTATCAGGATTACTGAAGATCCATCTCTTGATTAGATTTGCCACTATTTATTAGGTTAAGACTCATGCCTTTATGAACAAAAAAATTCAGGAGGGGAAGCATTTAACATAGATCTCCAAGCTGAGAAAAATGCTTCTATTGAATTTGTGTCACTTATAAGACAAAAGAGATTTGGCAAAAAGGTGACAATCCAAACCATAATCAGGTTTTGTTTAGCTTTTCTCTAGCTTCTGCAGCTTCACCTTGGAATCTTCTACACTTTTTCCAGATGTTGTGTGAAACCACAAGAGCAAGAAATGTGTAGGCAAGCAAGCAAGCAAGCAAGCAAGCCCATCAATGCTGTGTCCAAGCAGGCTGAGGAAGATGGGAACTACAAGAGAACACTTTGGACAAGCCTGGCTGAGGCAGTCAAAAGCCAATTTCAATTCATTGTGTCTTCAGACTCCAGAAAAGGGCTGGACAACTTACCTCTCAGCCTTCCACATACTGCTTACCCAAATTCCTATCAGTGCTAGCTAAAGAGGTCGAAGAGGAAAGTAATTGTCAAAATCTGGAGGGCCATTCTAGAGCTGTAGCTCTTCACCTCTGTCTCCCCCAGATGTTTTGAATTTCAGCCTCCAGAGTCCATAACCACTGGTCATGTTGGCTGGAGTCTCTGAAAATACAGAAGGAGCCCCATATTGGTGAGGGATCCATTCCACAATTTATCATGAATGCCTGAAACCACAGAGAATAACAAACCCTGTATACAACATACAAGGAGGCGGGAGAAAGGCCACAGGGCCCACCCTTTTGTATGTTGTATAGACGGCTTCCGTAAACGATGGATCACAGAAATTCTGGATACCAGTCTTACAGATATGGGGGTCCCACTGAAATTTCAAGACTGGTCTTCAACTATAGAGGCTATCATTGGGACAGGGAGAAAATGTAGGTCAAGTGCCCCTTAAGTCTCTAATAATGCATGACTGTACTCTGTCCCATCAAAGTGAAGGGGAGGTGGCCTTAAGGAGACATTATCAAATGCTCCACTTAGGGAAGTAATGTGACAAGCACAACATCTGTCGGTTTCCTGGCCTTGATACTGGAAGGTCCAGCTCTCACTGGCAATGTCTGCTGCATCATTCCCATGGGATCTTTGCAAACAACATATGCTCTTGCTAAACACTTTGCACTTGTCAAGACTGATGGATGCACTGTGTGTGACAACATGTAGAAAGAGCTCAGAAAAGTTACTTTTTATGGCTTAACAACTCCTAGAATTCCTCAGGCAGCATTCAATTGTTGGCTGGGGAATTTTGGAGGCTTTGATAATGCTTCTTCTTCTTGGCCTATTTGTGGGACAATCAGGCTGTCACAAGGACACTTAGCGTGTCTGTAAGAACAAATGGGAATGTGGGACCTCGTCTTTTAGATCAAACAGCAAGACTGGATGATGAATCCACCACCGCTTTTCCATTTATGGTACAACCTACCTGCCTTTCTGGTGTACTTTTCTTTCTTCTGCCCAGAAAAGATCTTGAAGAGAGAGAATTTAAACATGAGAATTTTTTTAAAGGTTTGAATGAAAGCTTCACTCAATGGTGTACAAATGTTTGAGGACCAGAAATATTACAGATTTCAGGGGTGGGATATATATTTTCATATTTTGACTCTCAGGGCAACAATTTCTTTGACTCTTGGGCTCTTGGGCTTATGTCTGATAAAGTTACTTTTACTTAGAAGGTAATTATAATTGCCATGAGCCTCAAGGCTTATCTGCATTCTTGTTGTTCAAATTGATCAGAGCCACTTGGTTCTCTGGATGTAACATCATTGTATATTTAATGTGCAAGTTCCAGAAGCCACTTGCTCCTGCACATGGAAACAAACATTTGCAATATCACTCCACAGCTTGGCAAATTCCTCTTAAGGATGAATAGAATGCTATGTGGAAGCCATTGAGAACTGAGCAATGGGTTTGGATCCTTGACTACATTTAGCTCTGCAGACCTGTATCCTCTGCCTGGCATCCAAATCTTCATCCACATCTGGAGAAGAAGAGCCTTAACAACCAATAACGGGTAGCTTAAGCATCACCACTTTATGGGAGAGAGATGGATTTGGGTACACAGTGTTGCGATAGAGTTTGCAACATGTATATTTGTAGGTTTGGTTGGCAAGAACTGGGTTGGCAAAATGAAGGTAAGAGATCTTTGCAACACAACAGGGAGTCGATTAACATAGCAGGTGACCAAGGCAGTGCACAACTGAAGAAAAGGAAGATTAACAAAAATGTCTTGTGGTCAAATTTGACAATACAGTTAGCATGTAATTAGAAGCAAATTCCTGGAAAAGATGCTTGTTTATCCTAATATGAGCCTTCCTTTACATTTTGAAAATTAGCAGCCGTTTGTTTATATAATTGGTTATGAAGGAGATAAACATGGGCTTCATTTGCAAGTCTGACTAGTCAGCTTTGAAAGAAATGCATGACTGGAGAGACAATATTTTATCAACTTCTAATCACAAAGTCAGCAAGTCATCTCATTTGACCCATAGTATGTTTTTAACCCTGCTATCCACTCCTTGTAAGCTACATTTTTGCCTTTCAATGAAAGCAGAAGTAATGAATTCTCTGTCGCCCAGATTCTGACACCAGACTAATTCCAATGTTAACCTTACCCAGAGGGGACCCAATGACATAAACAGGGCACAAAGGTTATAAAGAAGTTAAATCCTATTGATATCATTGGACCTACTCTAATTAGGACTAGTATCCATTTTAATGCATAAATCTTGCATGCAACATTTTGAGACTAATAAAACACAATGTCTTCAGACAACAATTACCTCTTCTCTTCGGCAGTGCCTTCCCTTGCTTTAGCGGCAGAACGCTGAGAACAGATCTGTTTAACAAGAAAAGTTTGGAAAGCCTGTGAGTGACAACTGTTCTGTAATGACAGCCCTGCAATTTCTCACAACTTGCGGTGGGGGGGGAGATTCTGACCAGAACAGAGACCTGTGCATGTGGCATGTCTGAGCACTGGGATCGGGGGTGGTGTGGTAAGGAGAGAGGACTATTGAGGATTTGAGGTGTAACAACTCTATCTAACTGGCTAACAATGTGGGAAACTAGAGACTGGGCAAGTTACTTTTGGTACCACACCTCCCACAATCACCAGCCAGTAGCCATGCCACTGGGAGTTGCAGTCCAAAACTATGATTTCATGCCCTGAGGTAAAATATAAGAGATATGAGTATGCATACCCAGTGGAATGGTGGCCCATCTAACAGTGACAGAATATCAGGTCTTTTGAGGACATTCACTTTCCGCTTCAACTCACTGGGACATAACAATTTAATACTCAAAGATTAAGAAGCTTAAACATGCCTTTTTGGCTTACCTCAGTTAGACAAATTACTGCTATGATAACCATTATGGCCACTGTCACTGAAATTGCCAAGAAGAGCTTGTTGTTGTACCCATATTTCGGCATCCCCTGCCTTGATAGCTGTAAGAATTGAGAAACAGAAAGAAAACGGAAGTAGTAGTTCTTGGATTTTGCATTTTCAGCAACCTTCCGAACCGAAACATCACCTGAGGGACCAGGGGGGCTGGTTTGCATATGAGCAGATTAAGGTTCTTTACGGCTGTCCCATCTGGGAGTATGGTGGGAACAACTTTCAGCTCTGCTGCCACATTCCAGTAGAGCGCAGGGTCTTTGGGTGGAGCTAAGGCACAGGGTGGAGCCAAGGCAAAATGGGAGGGGCCAAACACAAATTTTAACTATTTGCTACAGTGCAGTAGGTTTCAGACATTCAAAGCCTTCCCAGGTTGCAAAATTTTGGTCCTGCTCTGTCTGGAAGCTATTGTTTCTTTTCAGATCCATAGCCTGAGATGTTTATAGCTTATGATTCCATACATTTTCCTAGCACTGTGTCTCAGATTTCTGGCCCTCCTTAAACTCAGTGAAAAGATTTCTGCAAGCCCTCTGACAATTCATATTTTGCCTCTCCTGTCTCCCTTAGAAAGTACTACAGCCTATAGCTAACACTTCCCCAGAATGATCCTTGTAGTCCGCACCAGAACGTCTCTGTTGCAATACTTTTATTTATGAGTCACACACTCCTGCTTTTAAAAATGTAATTGAACTATTTGGGCAAGAGGTTTATGGTATTTCCACCCTCAGGCTGTGGAACATGATATGACTGAGAGATATTGATGCCCATGTTGTGTTGGACTCTCAATTTTTGTGGCCCACTGCTAGCTTTGATTAATCAGGTATTGCAAGCTCTATAGTGAGTCAAAAACCTGAAAAAATGTCCTCCTTCCTAGTCCCCAACAACAATATGTGTGGGAAAGAGAAGGAAAGCATGCATACATCAAAGGTTGTGAAAACTCTATGATTTTCTTTGCAGATGACTTAGATCAGGGGTGTCCAACCTTTCACCTTCCCTGGGCCACATTAGAAGATGAAAATTTGGTTTGGGCCACACATACATTTGGTTTGGGCCACATGAGGGGGCAGCCCTAGCCGTCCTCCGCAGCCCCACTCCAAGCGCGCTTACCGGCAGCTGCGATCTCAGATAGCAGAGGCTGCCAGCTTCAACTCCAGCAGCTTTATGGGGCCGGGAGGGGGCCCACCTATTGACAGGGACAGCGCAATGCAGTCATGCAGGCCCCCTGTCCCCTCTCCTCCCACTCCTTCCTTCCTTCCCTTTCTCCCCCTCTACTGTTGTGACATGCCCTGGCCACATTCTGGCCGCAAGTGCCGGCAGTGTAACTTGAAACTTTGGAATTTCTTTATAAATAAAAAATTGCACTGGGCTACATTACGAGCTGACCTGGGCCGCATGCGGCCCTTGGGCCGCGGGTTGGACAAGCCTGACTTAGATGATCTCAGGTTCAAAATCTGAACAAAACATTGGGCTAATTCCAGTTTTAGCTCCAACTAGAGCTGACAAACTTGGCTTGTGTTAGTGAATAAGAAGTCCCATTCTTTTCAGTGAGCCTACTCTAGTTGTGAATAAAATTGAATGTAGCCCCTTTATTCCTCCTTCACTGATTCGGCCCACTTGGACTCTCTTTGCCTTTGAGTCTTGTATTTCTTTGTCTCTTTCTGATCATTGGTTGCAGTCTAAACCCCAATCTCTTGCGTAACACCACTCACCCTCTAGAGAGTTTGTATGGGAAAGTCTAACGTGGCACTTTACACAGTAACCGCTTTTGGGAAACATGCATCAGATGAACTTTCAGTGACCGGTGCAAATAGGCCAGGTTTAGCCCCTTACCTCATCAGAAGGTTTCCCCTCATTCCTTTGGTTAGCTGTGCTCAAGTTGCCTTTGAGGGGCCCAAGATATGACTTCAGGAAGGAGGAGGTCTCTTTGAGGTTTTCTCTCTCACTAAAGAGCTTCATAAGGAGGCCTGTCCTAGATATGAGCTTAACACAAGCCATCTTGATGGTGGGCTTCGAACAGTCCATTTTCAGGATCCGGATCACATGAGATATGAGGTTCCTCACTGGCATATTTGGGATGAGAGGCTCCAAGCGCTTGTTCACTTCAGCCTCAAACAGGTCACTCTGAAGTAAATAGTCATCCTCAGATGGCAAGAAGGTGGCCTGTGGAGAAGCAGAGGTTGATTGTTCATGATGCTCCCAACGTGTCTCTTGGGATAGACTGATGTCTGGTGAGAGCTCATTCAGCATTTCAGTGTCCTCAGCTGGCATCTGGGATTTCTCCCCTTTGTGCATGAGACGGTGGAGCTCCTGATCCTTTTGAGAATCCAATTTATTTCCTGGCATGAAATCTTCTGAGCACTCTCTGTTAGGAATATCTGAACAGCGGCCCGGTTGACTCTCTGACAGATCATGCTGGCTACCAGATGCTTCTTCCTCCTGTTTCCTGATTGGAATCTGAAACGCTTCATTGGTGGGCTTCCTTGATTTGTTGGAGTGCTTCAGGATAATAACAACTTTGCCTGTTAAGTCATCTGCAGCATCGTCATCCACCACAATGGAAGCCGTCAAGGAGGGAGCCCCTGTCGCCGCCTCCCTCATGGAACGCTTCCCAGCAGGCGGAAATGCAGCAGCTCGTTGATGCCTGAGAAGGGAAGCCATGCTTTCGTGTTCTAGTTCCCAGGATAGCTTCCTCTGTCTGGGCTGAGCACCTCTGTGTAAATCTAGGCTGATTTGCTGCTCTGCATCTTGTTGCATGACAGCCTTTGGAAATTCTGTGCCCCATCCCAGAGATGATTCTCCCATACTGGGAATTTTCCCAAACCAATTGCCTCTCTTGACTTCTTCCTGGTATCTTTTCACTCTCATCAAAGGAGCCTCAGACTGGTCCGAAACTTGTGCAGAGGTTTCTTTTTGCTCTCCTGTCCTTTGACTCTCATTTTCATATTCTGCTATTTTTTCTTTCAGGGCCGCCTGCAGCAATTTGGCCAGGATGTACAGTTTTTTCAGCTCACTTTTGTCTGCCCACTTCACATCCATAAAGTCATCAGCCTTCAGGTTGCTTAATTGGTTGACTGTTATGAGAAGGTGTGGGGTGAGGTTTTGGAAATGGATGCCGAAATGCGAGAGGCCCTGGGTCACTGTGAGTGCCAGGGTCGAGTTGTCCTGTAGAGGCTTCTCGGGAAGAATGGTCAAGGTGCTGCTTGTATTCCGCTTCCTGGTTTCTAAGAGCTTCATGATTTCGTTCTGCATCTTATTTAAAGCCTCTTCTTGGTCTGCATGGGAGGAAAAAAGAGCAAATATATTTTGGAGAAGGAGAAGAAGAGAAGCGTCTGGTGTCTATAGCAGAGATGGGCAGAACGTTTGGAGAAGGATAGAAAAGAGAGGTGCATGACAGAAGTACATGTTCGCATGAAGTTGTACGTGGAAGGTGCTGTATAACTCCTTCGCCCCTTTTACTAGTATCATGAACTCGAACTGCAAAATGGATGCACCTTGGTAAGGAAAGAGATCTACATCATGTGTGATCAGCCACCTGTATTCAGGACTGATGTACTGTGTGTATCATTTCTTCTGTTTTATGATTAGTTTTGTTTTACTATTTTTCAGAAAACAGAAACAGCGCAGTTATTTAAACAAGTAATTGAACAAATACGGAGAGCTTTTCCATGGAGCACCCAGTCCATCTAGCTTTACCACTTGTTGCCACGAATGCAAATGGACCACTTGCAGCAGCAACACGTCTCTGCACATGGAAGGATGCAGGGATGTTGGCAAGTCTTTGGGTCCGAGTCCCAAGCCCCAAGTCCCTATTAAAACCAAGCTTCTTTTCTCGGGGGGGAAAAGGGAGGGGTGGGTGGGTCTCCGAGTTCCAAGTCAAGTCTGAGCCATTGGGGGAAAAAACAACGGTGTCAAGTCTGAGTCGAGTCACTGGTGTGACTTACAGCAAGTCCAACTTGACAGCAAGTCCTGGGACTCAAGTCCCCATCCCTGGAAGGATGGGACTTCTAAGCACCGAACCTTCTGGCAGAGCTTGTTCTTGCTAAGCCTCAGCTGCCTCACAATTGCAAAATTGTCCAAAGGCAACTGCTCCTCAGCTCCAAAGAACTGCCGTGGTACCACCCTTTGTTGTCTCCAGAAAGCAGTATGAAGGCTTTTCTTTAACATTAAATGTATAGCTATAAACAACAGCTTTGCTCAAGCAAATGTTTGGCAGTAAGTCAACAAGGAAGTGTGTTATCCCTTTGAATGTCAGAGCCAAGGAGCAGACACACTGTCCTGCAGAAGGTCTTTGGGCCAGCCAGCTAATCCTGTTTCTGCTTCATTTCCTCAGCAAGACTTTCATGGTGGCCAGAGTCCCACTGGTGATTTCCACTTTCATAAGGGTAATAGCATTTGGCAGCATGTTGTCCTTCATTAAAAAGTTGCTGGTTGCATTCCTGGGCATGTGCCCATTGCTGGAATGCAATTGGCACCTTGCTAATGAGGGACAATTTGTTACTAAGATTTCCTGGCATTTCTCTTTCATAAGTAAAGATCACTAACAGGATTCTGCTCACTGTATTTTGATAGTACAGAAGGCTACATTAAAAAAAAATGAAAAAGGAGAGGGTGAGCTCTCTCCTTTCTCATGGTGTCATAATGACTATTTGCAAAATGACCCAAATCTATTACAATTAAGTCTCCAGCTTAAGAGGGGGCCAAATCCAGTTTTACTAGGACTGCCCGTAGACCTGTGCTTGCTTCTGCTCCCCTGGCCTTAGTCTGAACATGTCAACTGGTAAATGAATTGCTCATTTATTCCCCAGGAAGCTCCTATCAGTGGAATTTTCCATTTGAAGACAAGCTCGCACCCACTAGAAATGTGAAGGAGGGACAAAAGTTTTCAGCCAACAGAAAGACCCTGGTGACAAAAATAGACATTTACTGACGGGGTTTAATTGTTGTTGCAATATGCTATGTAGTGTATTATCTTACTGTTTTTTGCTGAATATCTAATTTTGCATCATCTTTCTTCCTTAAAGTGATGACAGATGGACAGAAGTCATGAGTGCGCATTCGACAAATTCATATATTGTGTGTTGTCAAGTTGATTACAACTTATGGGGACCCTTCCCAGGATTTTCTAGGCATGGAGTACTCAAATGTGATTTACCATTCCTGTCTTCTGGTAATGCTCTGGAACCATATATAACTTGCCCAAGGCTACACAGACTGGCTTTTCTCCCATGAGGCACAGTGGCAAATTGTCCTCCCAACTTGTGACTCTGTAGCCAAGTACTCCAACTCTGCAAGCTATCTAGCTAGCAATTCAAGAAAAGAGCAAGGAGGAGGGCTACATTCTGCAAGCTCCTCCCCACCAGTGTACATATCTCATGAATCCCTTTGGCTGATGTTTATACTCTGTGTGCAGATGACGGCAGGAGAGGGTCATGTGATGCATGCATTCTGGAGAAGAGATTACATGCTATGACCAGGCTCCTGGCCCATGTATTCACATTGTCACTTTGTTGAATGCCTGAATAGGAAGCTAGCAAAGGAAACTGAGTTCATGGGAACTGCTCTCAACCTACCACACAGAGTGGTGTTTACGTCGCATGTCTCTGTGCAATCCAATTTGACCGTCTCACACAAAACTTCAATGTCATCCTGAATACGGCAAAGGCAGCAGGACATCTTCCTGGGCAAGATGCTGTAGAAGAATGAGGAAGACAAACATCTCACCACTTTTGCTCAGTCCTTTCGATGCCTGCTGGCCTCTGAATCCTTCTAGGTCAAGAACAATCCACGCCTCACCACAGTGGTAGGTGGGTGGCACTCTTGAATCTGAGGGCTAGTCCTCTCATTTGTCCTGGTATCGTTCGGTCCCACCCAATTGCCATTATAATTTTCTTCCATGCCTACATTTTCATGGAGAAACTCCCTTTTCTCTCATGAGATAGTAAGAGAAATGAGAAAAGAATCCTCCTGTAAACTGCTCCATGGGGAAACTGACAGCATTAAGAGAAAATGTCCACATCTCGTTTCCTACGGTAAGATTGTATGAGAGCAGGTGGAAAAAGGGGCAAGGGAGGGAGATAAGGTACAGCTAACACCCTTTTCCACTCGTTCCTCACAGTTTTTCTGTCTTTCTTGAAACCCACCTAAAGGAAAGGGTCACAGAGCACTTACAGTGTTTTCAGCCAAATGGAGGTATTCAGTATGTCCACCACGACCTTGGGGACAATCTCTGTAGCACCTAAATCACTGCAAAATGACATACAGTCTTTGTTGTATTAATCAGCAGTCCGAAAAGACACAAAAGGATAGTCGACATAGTGCAGAAAGCCTATACAGTATAATAAGCATTAGACTTGATTTCACGGGTCTACCTAAGCTGGCCGAATGCATTATTATTCAGTCATATTTTACCAGGTGGGATGAAATGGATAACCCTCCTTTGTTTACCTTTCCTAATGTGTCACTTCCTAAAGAAAGAACAGGACACAAGCATGCCAGTATTTGACTACAAGGGAAAGGATTTCTCGCTTCTGGATGACATGTAATGTGTTGCAGAATGGAAAGGCTTTGTTCTGCACCTGGCTTTGAAACACGATGGGACTCCATCCTGCGGTATGCCAACCACTATTAGCAAGCCTAAATGAAAGAGAAGAGTCACAATGGATATGCAGAGTGCATTTTGCAAGCTACTGAATAGTCACAGCAGATGCTTAGATGTCTAGGATAGGGGGGACGGTGGTAGAGAATACCTTCAAGTCGAGACTGTAGTGTAAAAACAGATTTAAGCCCTGAGCCTTCTAATTGCAAGTTTAACCCCACGTAGGCATCATGCTTCTGACAGGTGTGTGTGTGTGTCTTTTGGGACTGAAGGTGTTGGGCTAAACCAGGTAACTCAGCAGTCACACAAAAGCAGCCTTAGCATACAGTCGTCCCCTGGTTGATTGGTCTAACACCAGCCTCTCCGGGGCAGTGGTAGTGGCGCCAGGGCTCCGTGGGTGGAAAGGCTGCTTTGAAGGGAGGTTAGGCAAGTGTGAAAATACAACCAAACAGATTCTATGTATTACAGTTCACAAAGGTATTATTGCTTTGGGACAAATAATCACACTTATAGTAACGAAACCTGACTTTACAGCCTGCACAAACTCAGAGGAAATCCCATCTTCCTTTATAAATTATTTCATGCCAGTGGAAACAAGGCTTGCAGGGTTGAAGCCCCGAGCCTTTCTGAGTAGCAGGAACTATCAGATCTGCCACCTTCCACCCTCCCAGCTTCCCTTTCCCTGCAATCCTCACAAGTAACTGGGAATTTTTTATTTTATTTCCCCTGGAACCATATGTCATGCATACTGTTGCAATGCATGCTGTTGGATGGTGGTTTGGTCTCGAATGCACAATTAAGGACTGTTCTTCATTTGTTGGAATAGACCAATAAGCTGCTTGCATTTATAACCTTTCCATGGGTGGGGATGGGGGTGAAATTGACCTTGAACTTTGCTTTCTTGGACTACAACTGCAAAAAAGTTAGGATGCTGGGAACTGCCATCCAAAAATGCAATTTTTCCCGATGATTGTACTACACTGACTAGATTTGACATGCCAACCGAAACATCTTCAATGAAAGTAAAAGCAAGTCAGGGTGTCATCTACTTACAGAAACTTCAGTGAGGGAAGTTTATAAAAATAAGGATCGTCAAGAGCAGTCAGGGGATTGTGGTTGAGAATCCTGCAAGGCAAAGGTGGAAATAAGGGAGGGAGAGAAGGAAGCAACTAGTTACCGGATTTCTGGGTAGGTAAGACAACAGTGTAACATGGTACAAGTGGCAAACCAGCCATTTTCTATCCCCATTTACTGCCTCAAGGACATCTCCTGTTGCCTTTAGAGTTGGAAATCTTTTTCTTCTCGAAAGGTGTCCATAGGCAGTAGATGGCTTGAGCCACTGGTGGGTGGACCAGGACTGGCAAAGGGCCTGTCTGGGCCAGTGTCCCTCTTATATAAACATGCCGCCACAGGCTCACCAATCTCATGTGGAAGCAGTGACTTTTGAGGTATCTGATGGTGGTTTAATCCTGTGAGTCTCCTTCTCTGTTCTGTCTCTATGTATGTGTGAATAAGAGAGCTTGGGAATAGCAAGTTATAAATAACACACCCTGTTTATCCAAAAATAAGACCTAACCTGAAAATAAGCCCTAGTATGATTTTTAAGGATGCTCGTAATATAAACCCTCCCCCCCCCCAAATAAGCCCCAGTTAAGTGAAACACTGCCCTCCACCATTGTGCAGCAACCAGAAGAAGATGACATGACTGTATTTGAATAAATATAGATTGTTGTACATGCAAAAAATAAAACATCCCCTGAAAATAAGCCCTAATGTGTTTTTGGAGTAAAAATTAATATAAGACCCTGTCTTATTTTCAGGAAAACATGGTAGGTACTTGTAACTCATTACTGAAAGGGGCAATGAGCAAGTAACTACTTTAGCTTTCAAAACTAATGTGTAGAACTTGTGTTATACATATTTGGTGTAATAAATCAATTTTCCATTTACTATTAACATTATTTTTAAAGGGAATTTTTAAAAAGCATTATGAGCAGAATTTGCTCACTTTATGCTCTTGTCTTATTAATTCTAAGCCTATTTCTCCAAAAGTAATGAGAAACATACCAAGTACATAGCAATTAACTCTTTGAGGGGACAATATTAATGGCAGCAAATTACTGTTATACTATACACATTTGCTGAACAAAATTAATTTTCAAACCTCTGGTAAATAATTTATATATCATAAAATGCCAGTCAGTATTCAGTAACACACACACACACTCCCCTCCCTCCCTCCCTCCCTCCTTCTCTCTCTCTCTCTCTCTCTCAGGTAAAATAGGCTGAGAATCTCAACTGGTGCAATGCTTTGAATACCATGCCCTTATGAAGCATATATGAGTGTATGGTCTCTGGCAGAGGAAGACAATTTCTTAAAGGTAAATAGAGTGGAGGAGTTCATTTTCATAGCCCCCAATAGGTATGTTCCACAGCAGAAGACTTCAAAGTTTAGGCAGTTCTGTTCAACCATATCAACAAATCTGTTCCAGCAGTTTCACGGCCAGCAGGAGTATTTTGTAAAACAAATGGGTCTTAGTTATCTATTCAGCATCAAGTCACCCTCAAAAGTTCAAAGAGTCATGACATTTGGTTGCAAAACAAACAAACAAACGAAACCCAAACCATTTCCCCTCTGCTCCTGTGAGGATCATTTTAGCCTTTGCTGATTCTTGTGACTCCTAATGCAGAAACAGACCAAAGCCTCCTTTTTTTGCAAGAGAAGGCACCATCTGAACCGCATTGCTGAGCACCCCATTATTTTCAAATTTTAAATGATGTACATTACTATATGAGATAGGAGTGCTCAGTCTACCAAGATCTGGTGACTTGTATTAAGTTGAGTAAATATTCTCTAAAGATAGATCTACATGCACTATAGGTTTTGACATATACGAAACAGATTTTCTTCTAGAATCCTTCCAGGTACCCAGGAATGAAATCTCTTCCTCTGTCTATCTCACTGTATATTTCATAACAAAAAGCCATATTCCCAGTGACATTTTATCTTTGGAGTGCTGGGAATGTGGTGACTGGAGCCCAGATACTTAATAATAATTATGTGCCATCAAGTTGATTTTGACTTATGATAACCCTTCCTTAAAGAATTCAAACATGCTTTACCAGCTGGTGGTGCTCTGGGACTGTGCAAGATGCCTAATGCATGTGCAGATGGCAGTGCATGTAACAAGCTCTGGATGATCTTGGCTAATTTCTCTTCCAGGAGGCACAGTGAAGATTCAAGCTCTGGCCCCGTGATCCCACAACTAGGCACTTCAACCTACAGAGCTGTCCTCCTCCCAGATACTTACAAGAAGAAAAAAACATGGGGATGTCCATAAGGTTTGGGAAATGGCACACGGTGGAGTCCAGGGGGGTTGGTGGTCCCGCTGCAGTTGAGGATTTCCAAGGTACAATGGCATGGGGTTGGGCAAGGCTCTATGGCTGCCTCCAACCTTCCAAAGGACACCAGTGTAATCACAAGGAACAGATCTTTATTAGAGGGAGCAACAGGGCACATGCTGTAGAGCAGATTCAAGGCCCCACTGCCCCTCTTGCCCTCTTGACGCCAGTAGAGGACGTCTTGGCAAATGGCAGCCAACACTAGTGCAGACTCCATGCAGGTACTAAGCAACCAGGGCCACATGAAGTTACCAAACAATCAGAGGCTGCACTGTCGCATCATTTCATTCCGCTCAGTTGTGACATCATCTTAGACTCACTCCTGGGCCGTGCACCACAGAATTTCTGTAAGCAGTGTAACTATGTAAATCTATATCTGTAGGCCCAGTTTCATAGACAGTCGGGAGATGTGCTTAACATGTCAGGCTTAACATGATACTCATATTTTTGGGGTTGTGATATATAATGATCTGAATTGTAATAATCAGAGTGGTGGTAGATTACTCTGTCGTACATTTGGGGAATTAGTCTTAATGGCCTGCTTATTTTCTCTCTCTAGCTCTTTAACTAAGTCCTATCATACATCACTGGGACTTAGTGAAGTCTAAGTAATAGCTTATTACTTAGCCCTAATTAAGGAATGTGGAAAAGAAGAAGACAGCCATTTCCTTTATTAAAATGTTTGCACAAAGCCATGTATAATTGGGTCTCTATATAAAGAAGGCTCACATTTTTTTCCTGACAGGAATAAATTGCTGCCTTGAATGAAAGAAACACAGGTGATACTTTACAAATTTAATAAATTTATTATTAAACAATATAAAAAACTAAAACCTCTGGGCAAAAAAAAAAATCCTTAAACATAATTGGGCAATTATAGTTCACTCATCTGATAGATGTTGCTTCATAAAAATGTCATCCCAATCAAAACATTTTCTAACTGTTATAATGTGCTTTGGGCGAGGAAAGGTGTCCTTCTGGATCACAGAGAGTGAAAACCAGGACGGCTGTCAAATAAGCCTCCAGCCGTCCTCTTCTCCATCCAGGCTAAAATCTGACAGAATCTCCTCTCTCCCTCTGGGGCTTTGGGCTGAGAGTGAGAGATCAGTCACTTGGGAAGAAAAAGGAGGGCTGGTTGGTTACTTTGCAAAAGGTGACAAAACAGGGACATCAGGTCCTCTCTGTGTAGGGTGTTTTACAGTAAAGCTGTTTTGCTGACTCAGAGCAAGGCCCCTGCTTGCTACTTTCCTCCTCTGCGCTGCGGTCACACCACTATTGTACCTAGAAGGAGAGGGCAAAGGAATGCTAATAAACATGGCATCTCCACTTCCTCACTTGCTCAGTTGGCAGGAAAACAAAATGTAGGGCTAAGGGGATCCGGTCCTGATTGATCCTTGGCTTTCCAGCGGAGGCATTGATCTTTGCAAGTGCCAAAGGATTACAACCTCGGACACCAACACTGCATGGACATTATGTACAGAGCTATGTTTTGGAGAAAAATATCTACTTCTGCTTCATTGACACCAACACTGCATGGACATTACGTACAGAGCTATGTTTTGGAGAAGGACTTCCACCCTCCACCCAGCATGGCCACACATTGTTGGGCTTGCATGTTACAACCACACATCATGGGAGCCAGAAGTTTAAAACCCTTGGAAAGATGTATTCTTGAAGGCTTTCATGGCCGGGATCTGATGGTTGTTGTGTGCAGTCTAACACAATGATTCTATTTCAAAATACTGAAGTACTGGACAACACCAGCAATCATTATGTTAGACTGCACAGGGAAGCCATTGAAATCCATAAACATCAACAGAACTTCAACAAAAAAGAAGG